AAACAATACACCAAAATTCTATATTGAACTAGCATTCAAATGCATGGATGCTAATCCAGATAAACGTCCAACTGCTGGTGAAATTTATGAGATTATTGATTTTTGGAACGATTCATTTCATGAGGAGATGCTTGAAGATTATGAATATCCCAAAAAACAAAGGGATGAATATGAATCAATTAGAAAAGAATTTGAGAAAATGGATAAAATAAAATTTGATCCTTCAACAATTACTACAGTAATTCATCCAAATGCAGTTTATACTAGCAGATTATTAAAATTTACAAACCTTCCCTGTGAATTCCAATAAAGTAACAATTATTAGTAACAATAATGGTAATTATCATTAATTATTCAATTATTAATTTTAAAATTTAGTAACAATATTAACATTATGATGTTATAAATTATAGTTTCTCATTTAATGGATATAAATATTTAGATTAATTTGATTATTTATATTTAATAATGATATTATATAAAGGTAATAACTTCTCACAATTATCATATCTTTTGATTTCTCTTTTCATTTTGAAATTTGGATATCAAATATGCACACAAATAAATACAATTTTTAATAATCATACATAATTGCATTATTATTTATTTCTTTACTTTTTCAAATCAATATTTTCATCTCTTATAGCATTAACAAGTTGAAGTGATGCACTATCAATGTATCATATAATATATATAATATATAAATAATTTATTAATATAAAAATTTTAAATTTAATACAATGTATCTGTATAATTTAAATATAATATACCTAAATTATCAAATAAAAAGCCCACATCTAATCATTTCAACTTGCTTGTTTAATTCGCAATTCGCCAGAAACGGAAAGAAATTACATAATGCAGATCGGGGCAAATTTCTCGATTTTATAATAAAATAATTTTTATCACGTAACTTTATCTCCTGCTGACACAAAACCTTATTATCAAGTACCACACTCATGCATAATAAAAAACATTAGTATAATCTATAATTTTTTTTCTTGTTAAGAAACTATACATTTATTTTTTTACTACTAAAGCACAAATTCAAAATCAGCTCAGGATTATGGGTAGAAAAACATACTATTAAAATAAATTCACTTATTATGATTTACTTGAGAAAAGTAATAAAAACTATTTATTTAGTTATTTTATTTGTTTTTTTAGCAATTTCTAGCTTGTGCTGTCGGAATACCTACTAATACAATTTTCAATTGTACTTAATTTTGGCATGTCAATTACTTCCAACTCACCTATTTCCACGTTTTTTTTCAATTCTTCAAGCATTTCTTTAGGTGTATATCATTCACTTTTACATGCATCACCTGTATGAAAAAGATTTTTAATAACTCAACTACTTTATCAGACATATGTTTTCCACCGCCTTTCTTTCCTAATTCCTGATTTTCTTTCAAAGCCCAGCAAGTGGGAAGTAATTTCTATATAAATAAATGGAAGAATTTTATCAAATAGTTCTTCTATAATAGATAAGCTCTTTTTTTTTTTCTTGATTGTAAATTATCCATATCATCTTCATCATCCATTATTACATCTAAGTCCATTCTTTTCTTTGCTTCTAGATAATAAAAACATATAATTAGCCAAGTATTTAGGTGTTTAGAAAAATAATTATTACCTTCTATTTTATTATCTGTTTCAAATTCAATGTTTGTTCTTAAAAGTACAACTAAATCTGATCAATTATTTTTTTCATCATAATTTAGGTCTCTTTGATCCAACAATTTTTTAATATCATCTTTCTTTAATTTATCCAATCCCATACCTGGTTCTAAGAATAAGTGGTAATTTGAGACATAGATTTTAATGATGATGTACTTTAATATATTTAAATATAGAATATAAAAAATTTTTTTTTGTTTATTGTTTTATTTAGAAAAAACTACTAATTCAAACCTGTTGATGGAATTTGTTAAACTTGCACCCAGAACGACATCTATATCCTGGCAATAAATTACTATTTTCATTGCCTTCAGTAATACATGTATAGTATTGTCTGCCATTTTGTTCTATGCTTGTTTCCCAATCAACTCTCCTTGGATAAAGTAACGCACCTTCTTCTGGTTTACTTTTACATTTCATAACCCACCATTCTCTAGAATCTACGTCATAGTGCAAGTGTGGCTTTATTTGGCCTATTGAAATGAGATTTACAGTTAAATTGGGATGTTTAGTCATTTTAAAATTTTTAAAAATTAAAATCAGCTCAATATTATTTTTACTAATTTTATTATGTTTATTATCCCGCATTTTACTACATATTAAAAATGTATGTCGATCCTTTCCGTTTATCACGAATTGCAAATTAAATTAAATGTAATATTTGAATACAATATTAATAAAAATATAATAAAAATGTTCTTGCCTTTATAGCTGAACAAATTTGGAAAGCAAAATTTTTCCAACATTGGAAATTTATAAAACCATTTAATGTTTTAATATAATCCTCCACAAAAATAGGGCAAAATATTCTCCTTGTCAAATAATCATCAACTACCTTTATAATATTCTCATGGTCCAATATTTTCAAAAATATCAATTTCATTTCTATATTCAATTATTCTGTTTTTGTCATATTTTCCATTATTGACATTGATAATTTTAGCAGCATAAATGTTTTCATCATTACAGTTATTTGATCTAACTTTTTTAACTATGCATGATTTGCCAATTTTATTATGGTCATTACTGCCATCTTCATTATTTATAACATGATATATTTCTCCTGATTGAGCAGGTAAATGATTCTTTTCTTCTATAAATAGATTGTAAGGATCAGTTTTGGCATATTCAATAAATTGCATTTCTATATATAAACATAATTGAATAAATAAAATATTAACCTAATATACAAACATAAACATATATGTAAATTACTACTTACCAAAAGAGCTGCATTTCAATGAGGCATTTTTAGCATTACCATGGTGAGATGATATTATCAAAATAAGTTCTGCCAATTCCCAGAATACTAGGATATTTTTTTGCATTATGATCTAAGCAGTAGAAGGTTCGTTTTATTGGTTCAGATTTATTTGTTGAGATTTCACCATTCATGTTCTGATTTAGAGAGAGATCATGCAATTCAACAAATTCTTTTTAAATATATTTAATTGATAAATAGATAAAATAATAAAATTAGAAATAATTAAAAAATTACAATATTTAACTATATATTTAAAGACCACCTACTAAAGTATCTGAAGCAATGTTATTTATGGTATCATGCCTACCTCGTGTTGAACTTATTATACCGTTAATAGTATTATATCCATTTGTTTATTTTATTAATCATGAAAATAAATAATAATGACAACGATGATAATAAATAATAATTAAAAAACTCTAATAATACATTCAGTATTCCACAAGAATTTCCAATGAATGGACCACCATGTCTTGTAATTGAATTAAATATAGTGTTTAATTGTTTCCACAAAACTCTCCATCAAATTAAGCTTTGCATGCAATTCTTCCGATGCTGTTATAATAATACTAGTTTATTATGATGAATGTACTTGCTAAATATGTTGTTCAGTAACCATAACATAAGTCATCCATAATTCCACGACTTGGACTTGCACCAACAATTTCTTTGATATGCGAAAGAATCCAAATTAACTATTCAAAAAATCTGATGCTGCTACTGTATCTGGATTTATGAATCATTATCATAAATTATTACAGTCAACCCCCTCTAAGTGCACACCCCCTCTCCCCTGCACTGCACGGTCATTTTCCATTCCCAACTATATAA